AGAGATCAGAGAGATCCTTTTCAACTCCTTCCCCAAAGCTTGGCAAGAAAAATACATTAGCTGTGGAAGGGATGTCGTTGACAATACTCAAACACAGATAGTCAAATTCATGACAGAGCAGAAAGGACTGGCCGATGACAATGATGAAAGGAAACAACAATCAAGGAAAAGATCAGCAGAGGCCACCAACAGCACAAGACAAGGAGGAAGGAATGGGAAACAGAGAAAGCGCAGTARCAAYAACAACAACAACAATAATAATAGGAATAACGGACAGCATGAGACCCCAGAAGAAAAGAGGAACAGGCTCAATGCACAGCCTTGTAGGAAACACAAAGGACAACATCTTTGGGGTGAGTGTCGTGCAAATAAGTATGGTTACAACCAAAACAACAATAACAACACTGGGGGAAATCAAAGCAACCAAGGAAGTTACGGCGGAAACCAGAGAAACCAGCATCAGAGCAATACAAATGGAAGCAACAACAGTAGGAGGCCCCCAGGATTGTATTATGTKGATGAACACGGGAACATGAAGCCACAGTCGATGCAGATCCAAACTCACAATTATCATGGCTCAAATTCCAGTGGCCCTCCAAGCCATGTATCATTACAGTCCCACAGCAATCCGGGATCGACGGTTCAATTCCAAGGTCAAGGACAGGGCCCGAATCAACAGTGGTGACATTCAGGCGAGGCTTACTTTKCATTGCCTCCACCACCATTCACTCAATCACCAACAAATAGCCTTGAACTTTATGGTCTTGATAATGAAGAAGCTCTTAAGAATCCATCGGCAATCACCTTGAGGGCTCTGAAAACACCACCGGACATGCAAGATGTCCTACCAGCAATCATTCTAGTGTGCAAAACCATACAGGGCTTACCGTCAATGAATACATTTAAGGTGCTATTAGATAGTGGGAGTACAATGAGTCTCATTCACGAGCATTGCCTCCCACCAGGGACAGTCCCCTTTCAGGACCGATTCAGCTCAGTCACTACAACGGCTCAGGGAAGTTTTGATACATCCAAGTATGTCTTCATTTCCAATATCCGACTCCCTGAGTTTGGCAATGGCAAATACACCAGAGGAATCAATGCAAGACTCTTTTCAGCCGCCTGCAACTATGATATGATTCTCGGAAGGGACTTTCTCCTGATGACAGGAATAGATCTTTTTTATTCAACACGCACTATCAGATGGTTAGGATCAACCATTGACATGAAACCAACAGATCACTTTAACAATCCCCAGAACGTGGCAGAGGCCATGTGGATTGCAGAGGATGATGAACTCTTAGATGGAGGTTTCTTTGAGTTTCACCTACTCCCAAGCTGCCGACCTCAAAGTTGCAGACGTGCAATTGGTTTGGACAGTTATTTAGCAGGCCYGAGTGGCACTGCCAGAGCTACCAGTACTGAAAGTACAAAGCCTAATCAAATCCTGGACGCGAAGTACCAGAAGGTGACTCCACAGCAGGTTGCAGACCAGCAAGAGCACATGAATGAATCAGAAAGACTAGCATTCACACAAATGTTAGCCAAACATACAGAATTGTTTGACGGCAGACTAGGTCGCTATCCTCATGAG